TCGCGATATTAGCTTCTTTTAGAAAACAATGCCGACAATTTGCCACAACAACGAGCCGGCGTATGAGAGCCTCAGGCCATTTATAAGTGGTATGACCGTGGCGGTAATAAGGCACAGCCATGCCCTATTTACAAAAGATTACACAACAGTTAAAAGGGGGTATGAGGTCGGTCTCTCAATGCTGCAGACTTCCGTTAATCTTGGACATGACTTGCTTTTTATTGCAAGCCGAGCTCCTTAAGTTTTTTTTAACAAGCTGCCCCAAAAGGTGTCTCTCCTCCAAAGTCCCAGTACACTATCTGGTGATCTGACCTCAAGCTCTAACGGAGAGAAGCTTCCGGAGCTCTGCACCGCTCCAGTTTATAATCTCAGCTGGTCCTGTTAACAAAAGCGAAACGTACGGCCTGTGTTTGTTTTAATTTTTGTTCAGTTAGTTGCCGGCCAGAGCTTGACAATAACTCTCCACTCGATCACGACACCTCCCCCTGTTACATCAAGGTGTAATATGCATTTACTAGTCTGGCGTTGCGGCAATATTACTACCAAGTGTGGATGGATACACTGTGGCAGTAGTATTACGCTGATTTGCCGGCATGGTGTGTCTTCTAAAAAGGGCTATTGAGCACCCTGCTCAGTCTGTGCAAACTGACAGAAAGACACCTGGAACAGGATTACCCCCGCTGCACACTGGAGGCATCAGAGGCGCGGAACGGCACTGCTTCAAATAGAATCCACTATAGTCATTATAGTAGTAATCATACTATGGAGTGTTACAAACCAGCCGCGCCGCTAAAGATGAAGAAGAAGAAAATATCATTTCTATAGCGCCTCTCAAGATAAAAATCAGGAGACGCTTCACAAAAACAAAAACAAAAAATATAAAAATTGTAAAAATATAAAAAAGCATTTCGAAAATGTTTAAAAATATATTTAAAATGAGCAAGAATAAACAATTGTGATTTAAAAGAAAAAATGTTAAGAAAGAGAGAGAGTGAACAGGAAAGAGGGAAATCAGTGGATCCTGAGGAAGGTGGAATAGGTGGGGAGAGCAGGATAAAGAGAGAGTGGTGAAGAAGGTCATACAAAAGCCAGCTTGAACAGGTGAGTTTTCAGCTGCTTTTTGAAGGAGACCACTGAGTCCGCTGATCTCAGGCTCAGGGGGAGAGAGTTCCAGAGTCTGGGGGCCACAGCAGCAGATAATCTGTCACCTTTGACCTTTAGCCTGGTGCTGCACAACCAGTAGGCTTTGATCACTGGACCTCAGGGACCTGCTGGGGGTGTAGGGACTAAGAAGATCACCAATGTAAGATGGTGCTTGTCCATGTAAGGCCCTATAGACCAGAACCAGGATCTTGAAATGAACCCTGAAGTTGACTGGAAGCCAGTGAAGCTGGAGAAGAAGCGGGGTGATGTGGGTGTGTTTGGAGGACTTGGTCAGAAGCCGAGCACAGGCATTCTGAACCACCTGTAGACGGTTCAGGGAGGTTCTGCTCAGACACGTGAAAAGAGAGTTACAGTAGTCTAAGCGTGAGGAGATGAAGGTGTGGAGAACTGTCTCAAGTTCAGAGCGGGACAGAATGGGACTCAGCTTAGCAATGTTCCTGAGATGGAAGAAGGAAGAGCGAACAAGAGAACTGACATGAGAATCCAGGGTGAGAGCTGGGTCAAAGGTCACGCCAAGATTCCTGACAGAAGGTTTGGTGTGGGAAGCAAGCTGACCAAGAGAGTCTCTGACTTTGGGAACCAGCTCGTCTGGGGCACAGATGAGGATCTCAGTCTTATCTTCATTCAGCTGAAGAAAGCTCCCAGCCATCCAGGTTTTGATAGAGTCTAAGCAGGTGTGTAACAGCTGCAGCTTAGACATCTCATGGGGCTTAAAGGAGATGTACAGTTGGATGTCATCTACATAAAGATGGTAGGAGATTCCTTTGAAGGATGGAATCAGATTCTATTTTTTCCACGAGCTGCTTCTGGGATGCATCCATTTCTGCAGTTAACATAGGGCTAGACAGGAAATCACACAGTTTCAGTGCGCAATCCCCAGTTATTTTCAAAACAAAAGTACTGCAGCGATGCTATTTCATGTGTATGTGAAGCTCACGTGTGACCCTATGGCTAATTTACTCCCAGTATCATTCCAGAAGTGCAGCGGTGTGTTTTCATGGCTTTCATCCTGGCAGTAGAGAGGAACGACATTATAAATGACATCAACATATAACAACGCAATTTCCTTCTTTTTTGGTTTAATAGCAGTTTGCATAAACAAACCGTAACCTTTGAAGTCTCTAGGGATTTCTTTTGATCTCGCGAGTTGAGCGAGGAGCACGGCAGAGAAGCTGCTTCGCTGCTGAGACTCTTTCGGTGTGCACTTGTGTTCAGTGACTGTCGTGAGTAAACCGTTTCACTGCTGTTCCGCATCGCTGATGCTTCCAGTGTGCAGCAGGGGTAAGGGAATGAGAGACAAAACACTCTAGAACACCAGTGACCAACAGTCTCTGACCTTTTTGTCTTTAGCCTGGCTCGGTATACTTTGAGCCACAGCAATGCTGGCATTAAAAAAAGAGGCAGCAACCTGGTACCCGTCACAAGTGGAAATGCCTTGGAACTGGGTTGAAGTGAATAGTCATGCAGATCGGTGCAAGTGGGAAAATGCCGTCAGACCCCAGTTGGTCCAGGCAGATGACCTCTTGAGTTTGATTTGGTTGGGCTGGAGGTCTCTTCCTGTTCATGAAAGCTGTTTCTGGTTGTCTTGAGTACAGAGTCACATTTTACTACAACTAAAAGAGTTTACCTCATGCAGCTGGCTGGAGACCATGGCGCGCTGCTGCGCCCGCGTTGTTTATTCTGTTATTGTTACGGGTGCTTGTCTTGCAATGTGAAATGCTTGGTCTCAGATTTTGTAAGAAAAATAATAAAATGTCCCCCCAAAATACGACTTATATGTTTTTTTCTTCTTCATTAAACATTTAATGGCTGGTGCGACTCAGGAGCGACTTATAGTCCAGAAAATACGGTACTGAAAACTTGCTCAAAGCAAAATATATTTTCATTACAGAAATAAATTATAAACTTACCAATTTAATACTTTTTTAATCAAGGTACTTTTCATGAAAAAGCGCCGCAAACCTCCACCTAAACTTCGTGTGAGCTTCAGGTTGATGGGCGTTCCACTCCGGTTGGGTTGAAGCTAGGTAGCTAAATCCGTTAGCTTAGCTCCCACCTCTGCGTTAGCTTTGGATTAGCCAGGGTTAGCTTCAGGTTAGCTTGCAGCTAGTTCGACCGGGTGTCGTCAGTTGATCCCAGCCTTACAGCCCCACCCTCAGCTCCTCCTCTCTTCCCTTTTATGGAATTGTCTGGGCTTGACGGAACCTGTGACACGGTCAAAATGGCGGTGGTGGCCACCTCCCATTTTAACAGAAACCTGAACTTGATATCCACGGTTTTACTTTTGGCACACTTTGAAATCAGTTTTGCTGTAAAGTAGTGTTAAATAAACCAAACTGATATAAATTTAATGAAATTGAATATTTTCTGATTTCACAACTTCACATAACGACACCAAAGCTTGGATGCCTTCTTGTGATGTTTGAAGAGTTCTTGTCCTTTTGTGTTATAACACAGAACAGATAGAAACATGGGCACACATTTATAGATGCATAAATGTATTTTTATATGCCAGGCGTGCACGAGCGACTGTTTCTAAAATAGTTGTCCAGCTGTGTGAGGCCCTGCAAAATGTTCTATGTTTTGCTGCAGTTCAGATCTGTTGCCATGGCAGCTAGGTGATTATGTCAAAGCCGAGGCATTGGAATAAAATCACGCCCCCTTTTCTAACGGAAAAGCCTGGGTGGAAAATACTTTTCAGTTAGCCAGAGCAATTCACCAAAAGCAGAACAGGCTCTGGCCTCAGGGCTGGAGGATAACTAATAAACGAACTGACTCGTGTTCTCTGTGGGCGAGTTGTTACTGGATGACACAAACACGTCTGAGGAAAAGGAGAAAAGACTCAAAGGGAATATTTCTTCTATCTTAAATGTGACACTTTAACCGATCAAATAGATTTTTGTGGGCTGACAGATAAGATGAAAGCTGTCAGGTAAAACGAAAAGAGGACAATGAGATGATACTGGCTGCTTGTTTACCCCCTCAGTCTGCAGGTCATCCGCGGTGTCACCTCTGACAGCTTCAGACCTTCAAAATGTCACAAAAAGGAAAAAATGTGGAGTTTTTTAGTTCATCATTCATTCATTTCTCTCCTTTATCTACAGTCTCTGTAAGCTAGAGCCAACAGCTGTGATCTGGCCCCTCCAGACACCCTGGATTTCTCCCACCAGCCTGCAGTCAACACTCTGCTCATGGTGGGGTTATAAATAAGAGCAGCACTTGAGTTCATGTTGCTGCCACACAGCCAAATTTGGCTCCTGTGTTCAGTCTCTCATGGCTTCACTCGAATCAGCTAAACCAACAGTCACTAATTCCAGCAGGCCTGGACCGGGTTATTAAAGGTCTCATTGGTGCAAAGCACTTGCTTTTCTGCAGCCTGACCACTTTTCTCAGCTGTGACTCCGAATGTTCCCACACCCTCTCCTCGTGATCACCACCAGGGCACATCATATGGCTTGTTCACATCAGCACTGTAATTAGACAGAAATACGCACGGCTCAAGAGTGGCTGATAAAAGTCTAATTAGCGTGGAGTCATGAGTCGTTGCTTTAGTTTTTAATTTACAGAGCGGAGCAGAAGCTTCTCTCTGCTGATATAAAATAATGCAAAAGTTGTTCCATGATTTTATCAGGATACCTTTGATCTGGGGAGGCCAGTTGAAAGATAAAACCAAAGGCAGGATTGTCGGATCATTGTTTGCAAGCTGATAATCCGTCAGTGATGAGAAAATTTTCTTTTTTTCCTTGAGAATTTCCCCCTTCTTTTCCCCCTTTTTTCTAGGGAATCACAAACTCCTCCTCCTCATCCAAACTTTGGTTGTGGGAACTCCCTGCGCTGTGGAGCATGACTAGGTGAGCAGAGGAGGCGTGGGTTCTAGAGCTGGAGCTGACGGAGCATTCATGAGGTCCTGAGCGCGCAGATAGCTGCAGTTTTAGTGAGAAGCCCATGAGGATTGATCGGCGGGTTGAAGACTAAAGCTTCATTCTGGTGGATTAAAATGGGTTTGAAACGAGCGCGCGTAAAGACGCCGGGGCCAGCAGCCCTGCTCGCCCGCTCGTCCCTCTGCCTTATCGGACTCTTTGTCACTTTCTCTCACCCTGCCTGCGATGCATTCAACCTGGCCGTAGAAGATCCAGCGGTTTACAGCGGACCAGAGGGGAGCTACTTCGGATATGCTGTAGACTTTTATCTGTCTGAATCTGCCAGGTGAGTTTCGGACAGAAACACAGAAAACCCTCCACATTTATTCCAGTTTTTACGCAAAGCTGTTGCGCATGCCGTGCAGACTTTCCACTGGATTGATGGTTTTATTTCCCAAACTTTAGATCATCGGCAGCTCTCTGTTAAAGTGACAGCGCCACATATTTCACCTCCAGTTATTGTCTTTGTTGGATTAGGCTCTAACATTAAATCAGAGATTCGTGCGCACCCGGGACGCGTGTTTTACGCACATCGCACACGCCTTACGCGTGAACACAACTGTAATTGAATCTATCCTAGTACGCATGTGTTCTAAAAAAACTCTCGGAATTAATCCATGGTGGATATATGATCATAAAATGTGAATTATGTAAGTAAACATAGATTTGAAGACACATTTGAATTTTCTCTGCCTGAAATAACCTCAGCTTCCATCGGCTGTTGGTGTGAAGGCTCCATCTGGCTCTGGTGCTTCTTGGCTCAGTGCAGAAGTGATCCATGTGACAGTGCATGCTAGGACAGTCCCAACATTCGGAGGGGTTTTCGCATCAGATATTTTGGGAATTTAAACTCTTGCATACATGCTTGTGGTCATGTCTGATGCCAGAGCTCTGAATATAAATGGTGGGGGATTGGAGAGAATGAATTATTAGTTGCTGTCACTGATGAGTCTTAGATCTAGGTTCAGTTAACAAAGGTCTCAGTCAGACGTCTTCAGACTTCCTGGCTGCAGGACATCATAGTTCTACAATCCAGCCTGCTGAGATTTGAGACGTGGCTTTGTGCCCAGTGGGCCACCAGTTTCCTCGTTTCTCCTCTCCCATTTCCCTCGACAGCAGGCAGGCACTCAGACTTCTCCCTCCTTTTCACCCAGGCCTTCTCTGTCTCTTTAAAAGCCAGCTGCTGTTGGTTTTAATATCTTCTCTGGGAAGCAGGGGCTTTAGAGGAGAACCGTATGATTTAGGATGTGATGCCTGCATGCACAGACCCTTCTCCCTCCCACACGTCCATCCTTTGCTGATGTCATTTTGTAGGGCTTTTTAATTCATCCATCAGCCAGACCTTCCCCCACCACTCAGCCCCTCTCCCCATCATCTCCTCAGACACAGTCGACGTCATCTCATTAATCTGAGCATTCTTACAGATGAGACACCTCTCTCAGGGGGGCAAAGGCGCTGGCTTGTATGAGCAAAGCAGAATAAGCTTTTAAATGTGTGGAGACTTTTTGCAACTCATTGCTCTGTAATTTTCAGTCTAATGTGTTCAGAAGTCAAAAACTTAAAAAAACCTCTGAGAAGGGCAGATTTAAGACCAACACATCCCTTTATCTCCAGACCACATGCATCTGCCACTTGTCATCCACAGTTTTTCCAGACCTTTATACATAAAACATATCTGACATGGAATGGTTCTGTGCTATCTGTTCTTTCAGCAGCGCATCATGCTCGCGCTGCCTCGGGGCTGTGGGGGAGTAGCTGCGAGGTCAGCTGAGGGTTGGACAGAGAGATTCTTCTTGTCCAAAAGAGCCAATGTGGATCTAGAACCAAGCATGCCAATAAAACAACCGAACAGAAACAAGCGTATGTCTCGTTAGTGCGCCGGGATGAGAAACGGGGCAGATGTGGGGCAGATGTGGCAGCAGAGGCAGAGAATAAGGTGTTGTCAAGCTTGTGAGGAGGACAAAGACGCACTTTCACTAACTTTGATGGTTATCATTGACAACTAGTTTATATGTGTGAGTCTGTCGTGCCCTTCAGCCTGAGGAATAAATTTAAAACGGACTCTGACAAAGGGCCCACCATGGTAGAAGGCCTGGGGACAGCGTGGCAGTGTTCGCCAAATACACACAGCAAGCACAAGGGGAAGCATTATTATTGGTCCATGCACAGCCTTATTTCCTCCTTGCACCTGAGCCATTTGGACTCTTGAAATACGATCGTCCCATCAGACAGTTATTACACAAAGTATGTCGTTTTTATGCAGCAAGTAGGACCGATGGACACCAATCAGACGCTAAAGTCCAGCTTGGTCACCCATCACAGTAAATAATAAAACTCATTATTCATGGTTAGCACTGCACTGATATTTTTGACAACTAGTAGTTGTAGTAGATGACCAAAGTTATTCACAAGTCTTCAGGCTAGAGGTCGACTGAGATTGTTTTTTCTATTGCTGATTCCGGCATTGATGTGTAGGAGACATGGTCAGTCGATGGCCGATGTCCAGACATTTTCCACCTTATTTTTATGTTAAAATGTCACTAATGACATCAAGTTTTAAACCCTGAATTTACCAAACTGTTAAATCTTAACTTTGTGCACTGCTCAGTGTTAAAGTCAGACACCTAAATAAAGGTAATTTACAGTGTTTATTATGCAGATGTTATTAGTTAATGTAAAACTACACCTGCAACAGCACCAGGCTGCCCGAGTATGCGCCTGACTTTATATCAGCTTTACTAAAGGACAAATATCGGCCGATGCAGGTGTATAAAATATGGTAAATATCGGCCTGATGTATTACCCGACCGATATACCTCGACTTGAGGCACATCACTATGCTGCATATGTGGTCAATATGCTTGAATCAGTGTTCAGATGCTGCAGTCTGATTCCTGTGAAAAACCATTTTAGAACATACGTCATTGTTTTAGACAAACTATTGATAAAACAGAATAGAACATGCTCCAGTAATGTAACGATGTAACTAGGCCACTGGATCCTAAAGCTGGGGGTCAGGACCCCACTGTGGGTCGTGAAACACCGGGTGGGGGTCTTGAGATGATCCACAGAAATTAAATTAGCTTTGAAAATCATTACCATTGCCAAGACTGGCCTGAACCTTAACATACTGATTACAAATCAACTATCAAAAGATTGTATTTTGAATTAATGGTAGTTATTAAATGGGTTGTTAGCTGTTACTTTAAACACAATTAGTTGGGGTCAAAGTTGACTTTATTTTTGGTCAAAAGATGAGAAGTTTGGGAAGCTCTGATGTGGGCAAAGACACTCCAGCCTCACAGTTCATCTACTTCATCTACAGGGCTTGGTACCACTGTGCATCCCTCCCTAGACAAATGACTCATGCATTTTTTTTTAGTAATCAATAACAGTTTCTGAAAATCTCTGAGCAATACCAGTGAAGACATAAACAGAATGTTACTGGTTTTATCCTGGAAATGTGTGACCGGGCTGGACTCGGCTCTGATTGGTGCAGGGCACGCCTGACTGGCTGATAGGAACTATGTGACTCAGCGGGAGTCTACCACTCGTATGATTTTCTCCCGTAGCAAAGTAGTGAGTGTATTGTACTGGTCACTGGTAAAGGTCACAGGTCAGGGACTGTTGACAGTAACAGACCCGGTCTGGTGTTTATGAACACGTGTCCATGTTTCAGTGAAGCACATTAGGTCACAGAGATAGTCTGACTGAGTTTACCCTCTTCAGTAGGGTTAGAACCAGACTAACGCTGGCATTTAGTCAGACTTTCTTTTGGTCGCTAAAGCCACCATCTTTTCTCGTTCTCTCTTTGGTTCTTCTCCACACAGTCCTCAGATCCATCTCTGCTGTCGTTTCACTGGTGTTCCTTTTTAAATCAAACCCGGGAGTGTTTGAACTGCAGGAGCACAGCTTGTATATGTGGGTATCCAAGTTTTGTTTCACCCAGGTTCTTGTTGCGTGCAGACAAAGAGGCTCTTTGTCTCGTGTTTACTGTATTCCTTTGCAGGAGCTCTCACGATGGCTCCCTTCTAGTTCTTTCCTAATATTTACTGGCCTTCCTTAAAGCTGCTTTAATTGTCCCTGTTAAACGTTAACAAACAGACCAGCAGGTTGCTAAAGTTGCATGGATATATGACATCGATGGATTCCACTCTGTCCCAAACAAAGTGCCTTTCTCGCTTCCCAGTGGTGTGTGAGTATAGAGGCTTCCCACTTTAAGCTTGTCCTTGATGGTGTTGATGTGTTTAAAGGGCCCGTGGACCCGCTGCTGCTTTGGTTTGGGAATGCCCCGAGGACATCATGCCTACTTTGGAATGGAGTTGCTCTGGGTCGGATGTAATCTGTGTTCGCCTGCAGGCCTGGTTTGTTTTAGTCCATGGAAATCTGATAAGACTAACATGATGCCACGGACTCCCTGGGAAATATAAATAAAACGGAGCGAACTTCAGATATTTTAAAAGGAATTGACGTATAAAATGTCCCTCTACATTTTCGTGAACGTGTTTCTGCTGATGCGGGTTCTGCAGGAGTTTGGATTAGTTGTTCAAACAGCTGCAGCCCCCGCCACCATCATGGCTCTAAATAAAACAGTCTTTCTCTCCTGAGGTGAGACCACTGGACCCCCTGATGAGGTTGGTCATTGTGGGAGGTGTGAAGCACCAGCAGTTAAATCCCCTGCAGGGGCACTCTGGGGCAGTGGGAAAAGAGGAGCTGTAATTGTTGAGGGGGTTGGGCAACTTTTGGGTTGGGGGCCATGAAGTCATTTTGATCTTTTTCAGCAGCAGCATGATGCTTGAAATTTCTCACACAGCAGATATGAAGTAAGTGACTCCAAAAACACCCCCGGTACGAACATGTAAGGTTGTGGACTGCAGTTGGTGTCAACTAGCCCAGTCACTCACCAGACTGGTGTCTGCTGAGCAACATAAACTCCACACTTTTGCTGCATGGTTAGTTAGGGTTAGCCTTGTTTTCTGTCAGCAAGAACGTCACAGGTTTGAACCCCGGCTGCAGCTTTTCCGTGTGGAGTTAGCATGTTCTCCCCATGCATGTGCAGGTTTTCTGCGACTGCTGCGGTTTCCGCCTGCTGAATAAATAAATACTCCTAAACTTTTTTCCTTTGAGACAATAAACATGGTTGTGTGCATTCCTCAGATCGTGCTGCTGTCAGTTCTAGTCCACCTGTTGCTTTACTGTAATATCCTTTTGAGAGCACAGAGGAAACTCTTTTTTTTTCTCTGGGATCAGATGCTGTGCAAAGCCGAGTTTATCTTTTCAGCACGG